CTGCCCACTAACACATCTGCCACAGCCTGTGAGTGAAGGTGCCACAGACAAGTTAGCCTGAGCTGTGACTTGAAGGGTGGCTTGAAGTCAGAAGCCGGCTGGGTCTTCCTGAGTCAGTGGGAGGCCATTGTGTACCTGGTCAGGGGCTCAGGAAGAAGCATGGTGGAGCATCCATCCCGTGTCAGGGTGGAAATGATGGCTGAGCCCCGTGGGAGGGACAGTGAAGGAGAGAGAGCAGAGGCGGAAGGTGGAAGGAGAGGTGGACCAGGGCCGAGGCTGCCATCTGGAGAGGCGACTCATGTTGTCGAGAGGAACAGGGTCTGATGTAGCAGCTACTCTGCTTTTGCTTTTACCAAAGCTCGAGCTACCAATGCTTTCTGCTGGGTCCCACCACCGAGCCCACACTGGTTCGGCTAAGTGTCAGAGGGGTCACATTCCCCTACACAGAGAATGCGTCTTGCCCTGAGTCAGTGATGGCTGGGGCAGAGGATGGAGGGAAGACTTCATGGACATTACCCTCAGATGAACCTCAGATTCTCACTGTGTGGGACCTGGAGTTAATAGTTGAGGTTTTGCAGGCCGTGCAATTCCTGTCGTAATGACTCCTCTGCCGTGTAGTGTGGGAGCAGCCACATCAGTAGGAAAGAGGGTCTCAGGACTGTGTTACTGTGTCCAGTAAGACTTGCCACGGACCCTTCTCCGTCCTCTGAGGTAAGCAGCATTAGTGAAGAGGCTGAGAGGCAAAGAGTTGGTAGTTGGTCCAGGATGCCAAAGCTAAGAGGCAGTGGGCCGGCACTAAGAGACAGTGCCGACCTGGTTAGAACGCCTGGCTTCTGCCCTGGAGAACAGAACACAGAGTGTCTGCAGATAAAGGGCTGTCCTGGGTGAGAGTGGACATTGCTGTGCAGATCTTAGCAAAGAATTACCAATCTTCTTGTTGGCTCTTCTCAGTCCCCAAACTGAGTAAATGTTTTCTCATATTATTTCTGTAATTCCTTTATTGTTTCACTTCACATATTGGGACATTACACTGTCTGGAATCTATGCTGTTATGCCGCAGAAGCCTAGATTTAAGCCTTGTTTCTTATTCCCAAATTCGCTCCTTTCCTGGCCACATTTATGGAAAAACTCACTCCTGCACTGTGATTTGAAATGCCACCTTTTGTCCCAATTGATTTCAGGCAGTTGAAGTAAACTTCCCATGTACTTGACTGGATTGGCGGTGTAGTCTGAGCAAGGGAGAGGTTTCAGGGTGGAGCGGCATTTGCCTTTTAGCCTTAGAGAAGGAAACCCCTACTCGACCAGGCCCCACGGAAGCCTCAGTGCAGAAACACTGCTGGGCTGTCACCTGAAATGGGTACGTGGCAGGTCACAAAAAGGAAGGCAGCTCCGGTGAGTTGAGCTGAACAAAGTATGGATATGCAGTGCTGGGGAGAGAGGAGTTAAACACTAGGGAGTGTGTGGACTTGCTCTGGGTGGGCTATAATAGTATGTGATGTCTGGAAAAAAAATCTCTCCAACTTCACCTATGGCTTCATTGTCCAGGAATAGTCAGCCAGCCACCAGCCAACTCCTCAGCCAAAGCATATGTGTTTTACATTAAAGGCTGTTGGAAGAGCCTTGTTTTGGAGGGAGCACCTTTCAGTCCATTGCCTTTTCTGCCGTTATTGCAAGGGTTGCCTGATGCCTGGCTGAGGGGACAGTGGGACAGCGCTGACAGCCCTTCTTTGCCGTGATGGATTTTTAAAAAGAACCCGACCACCAGAGAACGACTTGGTGCTTTTAAGTGTTGTTATCATTCATTTTGATGTTGACACTGTATATACAGGGCTATCGTTCAAGAGGCTGCTAACACACCGCACTGGGACAGGTACAGGAAAGTCAGTTTCACCAGGAGAATGGCATGCAGCAGGCTACTGTTGATAGGACCCGCTGTTTCTCCCAGGTGGCCTCTTGTGCATTGTGGTTTGGACCTCACTTGGACGTGTCATCAGGAAAGACCGATTGCTAGACACGGACCCCAGGGCTCATGAAGTAATGAAAATGAGAGGCACGCTCAGTGAGGCGGATTGACAGAATAGGTGCCGACACTGGGCTCGTGTCTTCAGTCATGGAGACCAGGCAGCACTGGGCAGCGTGTGTTCTGTGATACATGCAGCCATCGGGGTGGGAGAGGACTCGATGGCAGGGAACGATGACGAGGTGAACGTGGGGTGAAGAATTTGGGCAACTTTTCGCTATTTCTTACCACAACATTTAACTAACTTCTGTGTCCTCTTGGAGGGAGCTCTGGTGGCTTAGTGGTAAGGAATTGCACTACCAGCACAAAGGCCCACGGTTCAAATCCACCAGTTTCTCTACAGGAGAAAGATGGGCAGTCTCCCGTGCAATTTACTGCTTTTGTAAACCTCTTGGAGCATCAGCTGTGGGTCCATTCAACAGTACTCACCACCACCAATAACAATAACAGTGTTCTCTTGGGGAAGAGTTCCTCTAAGTTTTGGCCCTATGGAACAAAGTCTAGGTAATAGTATTTGGGATCCCCTCATCTCAAGCTGTTCTTTTACTGGTCTCAATAAGCCCAGAACCCAGACACTTCCTCTGGCCTCCTCAGAGTGACATATTACCTGCTGGGTCTGATTTCCCACGTCGCCCACAGTGATCTTGTTTGACACTTGAGAAAATTCTATTATCTAGTCTGCAGCTGGAGGGCACAGACCGCTTTAAAACGTTCCTTTTTATTTCCCAAGGTCCAGGCAGATAATACCTCAGTAAGTCCCGGAGCTCCTGAAAATGCACAGCCCCACTGGCCTGCCCCTGTTTTCCCCATCCTTGTTGTTGAGGAAGCAGAGAAACAATTTTAGTGACATTTCTTGTGTCCTATGCATTGGTCTAAGCACTTAACTTACATGCTATTAAGAACTTAGAGTTCTATGAGATGATTTCTATGAAGATCCCATTTGAGAGATAAGATTGGCTCTCAGATGGAATAAGTAGGTAACCTGTCCAAGACCACTCAGCTGTGGAGCCAGGATTCTAACCTGGGACCCGACTCTCAAAGAGGGTGCTCTGAAATCCAGTGCCCTGAGTGCCCCCTGGTATTGACTGCAGTACATGTGCTGGGCTAGGCGCTTTGCAGATTCCTGCTTTAGTGGAATCATTCTCTCTTCTTTGTGGAGAACGTGACATTAGCCCTACTTTGCATCTCGTAAAGGAGGAAATTGTTCAGGGTTACCAGGCAGTAAGTGGCTGAGTGAGGTGTGACCTCTGTTCTGGAGTCTGTTGGTAACAGCTCTCCGTGGCTCCTACTCGTTACAATGGGAGCTGCTGAATCCTCTTCTGATCTTTTCTGGTTCCCTCCATCCGACCTCCATCCAGGAATCCTGTTCTTGTGCAGCTCTTGGGCCTGCCAAGAAGATTTCAGGCCTTAAGGAGAGCTCGGAAGCTGACTTGTCCCACCTTTGCTTTCCTGGTCTGTGTCACTGAGCGCCCCCATCAGGTGGCTTGGAGAATCAGAGCATGGCAGGTGGGGCCACATTGCTAACCAGTTGCAGACAAGTCAATTCTGACCCTTTGTGTGTGAGTGGCGGGCTGTTACTCATCAGGTTTTCAGGGGCTGCTTTTTCAGAAGTAGATTATCAGCTCTTTCTTCAGAAGTGTCTGGATAGATGCCCTGGTGTTTAAGTGTTGGTACCGACCAGAGACTTGGACACATTGCTATATGATATACAAAGTGTCTGCTGTATGATAATCCTTAGGTTTGCTGTTAGGTTAAAAAGTTAACGTGAAGTTTGAGCAGTTAAGAACCTCTGTAATGAAGTATACTTTGTAAGAACCTTCAGATTCAGACAGGCCCAAGAGTCTCACTGTCTCCTATACACTTGCCACTATTACCCCAGTTACCATGTCAGTCCACCTCATCCAGGGTTTTCCTCTCCTGCGCTGTCCCTCCACTCTTCCAAGAATAATGCCCTTTCCCAAGGACTGGTCCCTTCTGGCAACATGGCCAAAGTATGTGAGGTGAAGCCTCCAAATCCATGCCTCCAAAAGGCAGCTTGGTTTCACCCTCTGCAGGACAGACTTGACGGTCCATGATATGTTCAACATTTTTCTCCAGCACCACAACTCAAAAGCATCGATTCTTCTTCTGCCATCTTTGCTTATTGTTCAGCTCTCTGATGAGTAATTGCGAATGAGGGTGCTTATCTATGGAAGCTGGCGTAATCCATAGGGAGTTGCAATGCCAACCCAAAGGTGGTGCCTCTCTGCCGGTTCAAATCCACCAACTGCTGTGGCAGAAAGCTGGGCAGTCTTCGCCCGTGTGATTGATTTACAGTCTCTGAAAACCTGCTGGAGAGTCAGATATGAGTTAGTTCTGATTTGAATGTGGTGAGTTGGAAGGGTGTTTTTGAGAGGCATTTATTCAGAGGTGCTGGGGTTCTTACTTAAAGCTGTGGTTTTCTGTCCATGAGTGCTTTTCTAAATTGAAGATCCTCAAAGCGTTGTCCTTGTGAGTAATTACACACGGTATTGCGGGGAAGTCCTCCTGCCCCTCTACAGTGACACCTGTGTTCTAACTATCGGGTGTCAAGGAGGAAAACCAGCTGTCTTACTATGCGAGGATTTGTATGCCAGTGTGCGGCCAAGTGTCGCTTGAGCTGCTAAGTTGATAAACAGCCCTAACTAGGAATGACTCATTGCCCAGAACAAATACTGTCCAGTGGCAGAAGCTTGGAAAAGCACCTAGAAACTGCATAGGTATTTCCCCCCATAGCAGCTGAGTATATTCACGAGTGATGTATGCATTTATTCTCAGCCTGCCTTTCGGTTTTGTGTGGTTAATAAGAGAGTGACCAACAGAGCCCACTGGCTCCCTTGAGTAAGGTTGTATTGGAACCATCTTTGGAAGGACACAGGAAGTTTGTCCAGACCAGAGAGGGGAGGGGGACGGTGGAACAGGAAAGAGCTGAGGCTTAATTTTACTTTCCTTTCTCCCTTAGACGAGCTGCGGCAAGCCATCATGGCCATGATGAATAGGAAAGACGAACTGGAAGAAGAGAACAGGTATATGATCTTCAGCCTTTAAAAATATTCTCTTCCTTTGACATGCCACCCCTGGAAAAGAGCGACTGTAACAGATGAAGGAAATTGCACTTTGCTGGTTAAATTGTGATGGGTGACTGTATTTTTGGATGTACCGATGGGGCATATATATTGTGGGTTGAGTGTAAGCATGGAATAGAGAACCTAATAATCATGGCATTGCCTTAAAACAGCCCGAGAATTGGACAGCGCTGCCTTCTAAGACACTTTTGTTGAAAGACTTACCTAGCATATCACAGGGATTCAAATATTTGTGTTAAAGTTTGCCCAAATCAAGGAGACCCGGGACAAATGGTATTTGGCTATTTCCATGCCTGATTGTAGACATTGAAAGAACTGAAAGAACATAGGGCTTTATTAATCTTTAATTTCTAGTTGAACCCAGAAGTAGATCCTACCCAGTTATTAGACATAGTTTTGCCCTCTGATCACCTCCTGGTGAACCTTTCTGTGGACTGAAGAATAAAAGTTGTGGTCTACATATATCTGCTAACCTGTGAGCACAATTAGACTCTTTCCCTGGGGCTTAGGGAATGCTTATGAACACTTACGTGTTCATTTTAGAGCTCTGGTGGCCTAGTGGTGAGGAATTGCATCGCCAATCCAAAGATAACATGGTCTGAATCCACCAGGTACTCTGGGAGAAACGATGGACAATCTCCTCCCATGTGATTTGGTGCCTCTGCAAATATGCTAGAGGGCCAGCTTCACATCAGTTCCAACCTGATGATACATAACAACCAGCATAACAAAATATATCTATTATCTAACTCTCTGTCTGTCTGTCTTAGCTATCTATCTATGTATCACCCAACTTCTTATATGTCTACTATCTGTCTATATCTACCATTTACCTTTAAGTCTTCTATGTCTCTATCTTTCTATATCTCTCCTCTGTTTGCACATATCTAACTAACATTGCTGTTTATATTTATCTTCACTCTTGATATTTATGCCTGTCTTTATACCATACAATTTACTGCCCCTGAATACCCACTGGAGGGTCAGCTATATGTTTATTCCGACTTGATGGTATCCAGCAACCACAGTGTGTTAATTTTGGCTCATATTTAAGTATTAAGGGTGGAAACTAAGGCTCCATAGTGATAACCTAGTCATGATTCTCCTTTTAGAGAGAAAGAAAACCTTATTTGGGTTCCTAATTGACAGGCTTCTCCTTTGTCTTCATGGAAATAGAAAAAAAAACACACAACAAAGCCTACTTCTCTAAAACAAAAGAGATTTTGTTGTTTGAGTTGTTTTTTTTTTAAACCAAGAGAAATATATGTGGAACAAAAAACATTTGGCATTTCACCAGTCTTCACATGTACAGTTCAGTGACATTAATTGTGTTTATCATGTTGTTCAACCAGCACCATTATCTTTCCACATTTCCCCCTCAAAACAGAGTTGTTGTTTTTTAAAGAATCTTGAAACAGTGTAATTTTCCAACTAGAATAAACTTTCAAAGAAGAGCTGGTAGACATGACACGACTTTCTTCCCTTGTTCCAGCTGGAGCTATTAGTCTGGAAGAAGCCATAGGTTTTATCTTACCTTGTGAAGCATAGCCGTTGCTGCCTGTTTATTTATTAGTGGTAAGAAGCTGTGCTGCAATATCAAAGGCACACAGTTCAAACCCACCAGCTGCTCTGTGAGAGTAGGATAGGCAGTCTCCTCCTGTGGGATTTCCTGCCTCTGAAAACCTGCTGGAGGGTCAGCTATGGGTTGGTTCTGTCCCAACAGCACACAACAACAACAGATAACAAAGACCGGGGCGGGGGGGGATCACTGTGTGTGTGTATGAATGTGGGTGAATGTGAGAGTGTGTGTGCGGGTGAACTTATGAACTCAGGTATTCTGAAGGAGACATTTCTCTGAAAGCTTTCAAGGAATACCTACATTAGGGAGTTGGGGGAGCCAGACGTGTTTGCTTATCTGCTGATGTCGCGGAGTGATTGTCTTCTAGTTGTAATGTGTGCACACCCCCAGATTGGTAACTGTGTTCTTGGTCAGCATGAGCTTGTTTGGTTCACTTCTTTTTTTTTTTTTCAATATTAATTTCAATGAAAATTTACAGAGACTTTGGATTTCCATTCATTCATTGTTGCCCTTGATTCACTTCTTGGTGGTGAATTCTAATTATCTCGGGGAAGAGCCACTGTGATCTCGCTTATCCAAGACAAGGGAAAGCACACGAGTGAATATCTTATAGCAAGTTAACGCGTGTAGAAATATACGGCCCACCTGTTGTTTGTGTAATCTGGGGTTGACAATTAAGACCTTGTGTTCATCTTTGTCTTTTTTAAAATTAATTTTAATGAAAGTTTACAGAGACTTAGGTTTCCATTCATTCATTGTTGCGCATTTCTCCCTGCCCAGCCCCCTGCCCCCCCCAATTTACTCTTCTCCTTGAAAAGTAAAAGAAAAACTCTTTCATTGTTATGCAATCCCTCTCCCAAATCCACTCCACTATGCAGTCTTCGTTCTGGACTACTCCTGTTATGACAATAATACCCACTCATATATCCTTTTTGAAAAGTTCTCTCTCTCCCTCATCTGTTTTAGTGCTGTTCCCATCACTTGTTCCCTCCTTCTCTGTCTTACCTCAAGCCCAATGTCAGTGCTGTTTTACGATAGGGGCCCTATGCAATATTTGTCCTTTTGTGACTGAGATATTTCACTCAGCATATGAGTAATGATGGGAATGACTTTAGACATCTGTCAGCTGACTGGGGCATATACTTCTTTTATGCCTCATATTATTCTTTTGCCTCACTGACTGCCATCTCTGTCCTCGCTAGGTCTCCTATGCAGGGTGGCTGAGAGAAAGTGACTTCCATTTAATCTGCTGCACCCTTGTGTGGGATATGCTTAAAGGCATTTCCCTGTGATTTGCTAACTCAGTGTTTCCTGGGGATTTGAACTGTCCCATGAGCAGCCTGCTCACAGGTCCTCAGGAGCATAGAACACACCTACTTCTCTCAGACTTGTTCCTTCGAGCCCCCTCACCACAGTTTGAGATCTGCTTAGCTCAGATTGTTTGAGGTTGACTTGAGCTTTGGTTTGTATGGAGCCTCGTGGAGAATGAACAGAGCAGGCTCTGGGCTTCGTGGACCCTGAGTTGGCAGTGTGTGAACAGGTGGGCCTTCCTCTCCCCAGATCGCTGCGGAACCTGCTGGATGGTGAGATGGAACATTCCGCAGTGCTTCGCCAGGAGATCGACGTGCTGAAGAGGAAGGTGGCCGAACAGGAGGAGCGGCACGTGGCAAAGATCCAGGCGTTGGCCAGGTAGGGGTCCCACACAGAGAGGAGGGGGGTCGAGGGTGACTTGGCGAGAACCCCAAGCGCACCTCCGCAAGCACTTTTTAATTTTAAAACAAAGCAAAGCAAAAATCACCAGAGGAAAATGGACATAAAATGTAAGTATTGGAAGTTTTAAATGAATTTCTTTACTGAATAGGAAAATGTGTGCAAATGACTCAAGATACAAAAGCCACCAAAGATTTAACAGGTTTTTTCCTGCAGGTCGTTTCTCTGTTGATCCCAGCTCCCAGTTCACATGCTGGATGGAGGTGGTCAGTGCCACCAAGTCCAGAGACTGCATATGCTTTGTTGTCATTGTTAAGTGCTGTTAAGTGGATTCCAGCTCTTAGGGAACCCATGTTACTCCTGCAGATGTGTCTCCGTATGCTGTGTTTTCTGTTCTGTCCTTCCTTGATCCCTTTCTCTGTTAAAAAATGGCACATTCCCTTCCTTTTACATCTCAGAGATTGTTCTGTGTTGGTGCACACAGGCTACTGTCTTATTTTTTAGTGGCTCAGAGTATTTAATTGACTTCCTCTAAGTTAATTTAATCAGCCCATCATGCATTTGTCATTAGTGGAATGGCGCAGTGGCGAACATCTGTGTTTGCTGTTTTGTTCCTGGGTGAGACTGTGCTGAGGCAGAGAATTGGCTCCATGCTTCTCTCTCAGCTTCTGGTCATGGAAGATGATCCCTGGAGTTCCTTGACTTCCAGTTGCTGTTGAGTTGATTTTTTTACTTGTAGTGACTCCGTGCTCCTTAGGCCTTCTTAAGCCATTGCCTTTATGGGTAAATATAAAGGTAAAACTTTTACCAGGTCTTTCTCCCATGGAGTTATGCGGTGAGTTTGAACCAACAGTCTTTTGGGTAGCAGCTGACCACTTAAGTGTTGCCCCACTCCACATCTCTAACTCCATCTTCCTTATTTGTTATTGACCTTGTTTGTGCCTCTCCTCACTCAGATTGGATTAGTATTCACTGTATTGCAGACGCCCATGCTAATATCCATTGAAACATCTTCAGAGTCCCTATTTCTGAGCAAGGTCAGTTGGAGATTCCAACATATCTTTTAGAGGGGATTTGATTCAACTCAGAATAGGGACAGAGCCAGTGAAGGTTTCCAGAAACCTGTGCAGGCCTGCTGTTGCCCACCTGTATCCACCATATGTACCATTCAGCTTATGACTCTTTGATAGTGTTGCAGGTGAAATAAGGTGTTTCAGAGTAATCTCCATTTCTCTAACAGTGTATCTTCATTTAAGAGCTCTTTTTATTTCACAAGTCATCATGGTATTGTTAATAATAGCAACACGCTGAAAGCAACCTTAGTGCTTACCTGGGGGTAGACTGATTAAATGGATATTAGGGTAGTCAGACAATGAAATACTCCGAGCTTCTTAGAAAAAAAAAAAAGAAAAAGAAGATGCTGGGCTTGTCTACATCAACCCAGCAATCTCCAAGATGTATCCCAGCACAGTAGAAATAAAGTTCCAATTTTTTTGGAAGAAAGCAAACTCCAAATATCCCATCTACCTCAAGACATCTAAGCTTACTAGTTTTCCTACATGTGGACGGTTTTATTTAAAACATGTACTTAGAGTTTGTAGCACTTTCTTCTAGTCAGCTCTCTCCAGTGTTTATTACTGAAAAAAGCTGTTATTGTTTCCAGGTAGTCCTTATTGTAAGCATTTTTAAAATATCTGCATGTATAATTTCCCAAAGTTAATGTACTTTATTGGAGTTCCCAAGTATTGCAATCCCAAGTGCTACATGCTTGCTGGAAGGTTGGTTCAGGCCCACCCAGAGGCACTTCAGAAGACAGACCTGAAAAGTCCATGGAGCAGTGTCGACAGTAAATTCAAACTCATTGCTGGTCAGTTGGAACCAGCTCTTAGCTGACCCTCTGGTGGGTTTTTGGAGGCTGTAAATGGCATCGGTGGAGGTTTTCCCCATCTTCCCCCAGAGTCACAGGTGGATTCAGATTAGCAGAGAGGTACCACATTTGGGCTAACTCCATAGGGAATACACCGCCAGAGTTCCCAGAATCAACACTATACCATATTAAGTATGAAATTATTCATTCCTAGCTCTTAGGGCATTTGAACTGTTTTTAGTGTCTCCCCCTTGGTATAAGTAAAATAAACAGTCTGCTGTAATTCTCTAAGAAAGACGACAGAAACCCTTGGCGAGTGTATAAAATCCCTGTTAACTAACACTAGGGGCTACTGTGTTTTGTGGCAATGGGCAGAGGAGCCCAGACTCATGTCAATTCCCAGCAGGGCCTCCCACCTTGGATTTGGCAGACAGTGTGAGCAGCACTAATGAGACTATTGTAAACCTGTAATCAAAAGTTGGCACAAAAAGCCTGTATTTCATTTCCATTCTCTGAGCTTCTCTATTTTCTTCTCATTTTAAAATGACATCTCTAGGGGATCAGAGACAGCAGATACTATAAATACAGCACTAGGTCCTGCGGTGGGCATTTTCTTCCCCGGCCCACCATGTCATCTGGCCACTTGACGGTTCTGTGGCATAATGGCATTCAGTGGTTTTTTTTTTAAGTTTGAGATCTATTGTGCCTCTGATTCTGTGTCATCAAAGAACCATACTTTCTGGAATTTTATGTACGGTACTGGGACTCAGTTGAGGCTGGAGACTCCATTGCTTGGAAATTGTGTGTTCCTGGGTGAATTGCTGGGTGAATTGTGTGTGTGTCCTTGTCTCTGCAATGGAGAGGTTAATGCTGCTTTCCCCACTCACGGGGAGTAAGTGTGAGAAAGGCAGGAGGCACGGGACCCAGACGAGCTCATTTACATGTGTTGTTTAATAAGTGTACTTTCAAATATGATCATCCTTGGAAAATTTTTCCCATGAATGAGGAGGGAATAATAAAAATTTCTTAACCAAGTGTTTTTAGAAATCGAACTCTCCCTGTTTAAACAGTTAACAAGTTCCAGGTGCCTGGGAGTTTGCAATCCACAGGTACCAGAACTGCTGTGCCAAACAGGTGAGGGCTTCACAAGAGGATGCTAATACAGCAGCTGATTGGTAAGTTTTGAGCGGTTTGGTGGCTGGCTTGGTCACATAGAGCATCGCCTCTGCAACCTGTTGGAAATTCTTCCTGCTTCTGCCTGGAAAGAGGCAGCTGTTGGTATTGTTGGGCAGTGGGCCTGCCCAGCTTGGTGGTGGTGTTGTAGGGGCTGGGGATGCTGTATCTAACTGGGGACAGCTGAGATAGCTCTGGTGGTGTAGGGTATAGCGTGCTATACTTCTAACCAAAAGATGGGCAGTTTCAATCCACTAGGTACTCCACAAATAAAGAGTGTGGGGCCAGTTGAGTAAAGCTGTGGCGCTCTGGTGGCCTAGTGGCAAGATGCTGCACTGCAATCTGAGAGGCACGTGGTTCAAGGCCACCAGCTTATCTGGGGAGAAAGATGGGCAATCTCCTCCCTTATGATTAACTGTCTCTGAAAGCCTGCCAGAGGGTCAGCTATGGGTCTGTCCTGACATGACAGTACACAACAACAGGTACACTGGAGAAAGTTGAACCATCCTCCCCTGTTACGATTTACAGCCTCAGAAACCTACGGTAGAGTTGTCAGAGGTCAGAATACATACTATGAAAGTGGGGCTTTTTAAGAGAGCGTGTCTGCAGTTTCAGTAAAGGGCTCGGGTGGTGTAGTTCATTCCATACCAGGCTGCTAACTAAAAGGTTGGTAGTTTGAATCCACCAAATGTTCCAAAAGAGAAAGATAGATAGTCTCCTCCTAAAGAATTCATGTTCTGAGACCTAGTGGAGGTTTGCAATGAGTGTAACAGACTTGACCTTAGTGGTACAGTTGAGATGGGACAGCAAAGCATCACAGGTTGGAATGTGAGGCGTGCGTGTGTGCACGTGCTGGGTCCACCCTGTTCCCAGGCTTAGCCTGTCAGGTTGTACATTTCATGCGTTTAGCCTTGTGTACGAACACAGACCTGACTTCAGACGGTTGAAGTCAGGTCAGGACTTCATTGTTTGCTGGCTGTGTGACGTTAGGCAAATGAACTTTTGTGAATTTCATTTTCTTAGTTACGAAGTTCGGAGAGAGTACAGCTGGAGTGCTCTTTGGTGGCAGGGATGATGAGGCTTCACCTGACACGCTTTGAATATGTTCCTAGGAGGGGCTATTCCTTAGAGAAGCACATGATGCTGGGAAGAGTAGAGGGTTTGAGAAGGAGAGGAAGACCCTCGACCTGGTGTATTGAGTTGATGAGTGCTGCAATGGGCTCTTGTGTGTCAGGAGTATGAGGATGGCGCAGGACAGGACTGGGTTCCGATCTTTAGTTCATAGGGTCACTATGAGTAGTACTCGACTCAACGGCACCTAAAAACAACAAGAAGTTAGGAAATTAAGAGTATTATCTACCACATAGAGTCATTGCACAGATGAAATGAGTGGAGGCCATTGCTGAATGTTAAATATCCATGTTGTTTTTCTTTAATACAACAATTACATCACTGTGAAACTTGGCCAAATTAAAAGGTATTTTTTAACAGCAGTGCTGGAAAAATAATTAAGAGCTACGATATTTCAGACACAGAAAAAGGAAATCCTTTTTTGGTCTAAGTATTCTGATACCTCACTTATCCATGCCTGTTTACTTTGAGTATATAGTTGTAAAACTGAAACATCACTGAGCAAATTCAGTGTTTGGTTACATATTTCCTTTGCCCCACAGCTGCCTCTCCTGCTGCCACGGCTCGGCAAAGAGCAAGGTCTTGTCGCTCGCCCCGCGTGCCTGGCTCCAAGCAGCGGCTAGATCTTGACAGGGAAGTGTTGTAATTAGTAGTATCTCAGGTTATGTAAGTCGCAAGCCCTAAATAATTTATTGCCTTACTTCCTGTTGAGTTAAGAAGACTCAAGCCAGGAGACAGATGTTGAAAGCAAAGAAGACACCAATTTACACAAAAAATGCCTTCGGGGGAAGCCAGTGAGCAGTGCTGT